TTTGTTCATTTATTTCATTTCATTTTCATTTTATTAAATTTGTATACCGCCCTACTCCCGAAGGACTCAGGGCGGTGAACAGCCATGAAATAAAACATATAAATACAAAATTTAAAATAGAAATAAAACAAGTTAGATAAATTTGGCTGAACCATATTTAAAACCCCAATAATTTAAAACCAAATTTAAAATTCCCATTTAAAAGAGGAGAAGTTTAGGTCAGGCCGGCTTGCTGGAATAGGAACGTCTTCAGCATGCGACGGAAGGTACGCAGGTCCGGAATCCTCCGTATCTCGGGGGGGAGCTCATTCCAGATAGTAGGTGCCCCCACAGAGAAGGCTCTCCCCCTGGGGGCCGCCAGTCGACATTGTTTGGCCGACGGCACCCGGAGGAGCCCCTCTCTATGGGAGCGTACTGGTCGGTGGGAGGCTATTGGTGGTAGCAGGCGGTCCCGTAGATAACCAGGTCCTAAGCCATGGAGCGCTCTAAAGGTGATGACCAAAACCTTGAAGCGCACTCGGAAGACCACCGGGAGCCAGTGCAGCTCGCGCAGGAGAGGCGTTACATGGGAGCGCCACGTCGCTCCCATCACCACCCGCGCGGCCGCACTCTGTGCCAGTTGGAGCCTCCGAGTGCTCCTCAAGGGGAGCCCCATGTAGAGAGCGTTACAATAGTCCAGACGGGAGGTGACGAGGGCATGAGTGACCGTGCGTAACGAGTCCCGATCCAGAAAGGGACGCAACTGGCGAATCAGGCGAACCTGATGAAAAATCCTCCCGGTCACGGCCGTCAAGTGCTCTTCTAAAGACAGCCGTGAATCCAGGAGGACACCCAAGTTGCAAGCCCTCTCCGTGGGGGCCAATGCTTCGCCCCCAATAGTCAGCGATGGCACCAGCTGACTATATCGGGATGTCGGAAACCACAGCCACTCGGTCTTGGATGGGTTGAGTCTGAGCCTGTTTCTCCCCATCCAGATCCGTACGGCCTCCAGGCACCGGGACATCACTTCAAGGGCATTGTTGGGGTGGTCTTTATGTTTACATGTACCTTATAAAGCAATATGTATGTATGTATGTATGTGATTAATGAATGAATATGGGCAGCATCCATGTTCCTTTCCTATGCAAAGGAAGCCAGGCTGAAATAATGTAGTAGGCTCTAGGTCATCCAATGAGCTTCATGGCTTAGTAAGGACATTTTAGTCCAACATTTGGACCACTCAATCAACTGTCTTACATTTTTCTCCTAGTTTAATTCACCTTATTCATTTGTATCAGCATGGAACAAAAGGTTTTAGGGTAATATAAACCCTGTTTCCCTTTTTATATTTCTTTATTTTTAAGCCAGACTTAGACTGAGCATCCTCCAAATACTTCCAAGCGTTCAACAACCTGATCGGCACATTCTGAAGCAGTTGCCAGGTCTTAAATGGTCTCTTCTCCTTATATACATTGGGTCTTTGAAGAGTGCTAGACCTGTTTGTTAAACTGGGGTTAGAACAGGGGTGTCAAACTCAATTTTATTGAGGGCCACATCAGGGTTGTGTTTTGGGGGGGCGTGGTCAGTTTGAAGTCACTTATCAAGGCTCTGTTTTTGGCTGTGATGGCCTCCTGCAGCCCTCCACCGGTGAAAACAGAGCCCAGGGGAGGGGGAATATGTGGCCCTCCCATGCTCCATTTTCAGCCATAACAGCCTCCTGCAGCCCTCTGCCAGAAAAAATGGAGCTTCGTTTTCGCTGGCAGAGGCACCACAGGCTGGTCCTTCGCTGTTTACAGGGCAGCCCTGTGGGTCAGATCTAAGCACCCCTTGCATTTGGCACCCCTAGTTTAGAATCTTTTGAAAGGCTGCTGCCCAAAGGTGGGTTTCAGCAGGTTCTGACCAGTTCTGAAGAACCGGTAGCGGAAATTTTGAGTAGTTTGGAGAACCGGTAGTAAAAATTCTGACTGGCCCCACCCCCATCTATTCTCTGCCTCCCGAGTCCCAGCTGATCGGAAGGAAATGGGGATTTTGCAGTAACCTTCCCCTGGATTGGGGAGGGAATGGAGATTTTACAGTATCCTTCCCTTGCCACGCCCACCAAGCCACGCCCACAGAATGGTAGTAAAAACATTTGAAACCCACTACTGCTGCTGCCATTATACTTAAGAAAGAGATAGCTCTTCCTTTTTTGCCTGCCAAGAGTATAAAAATCTCATGCCCAAACCGTTTTTGCCTGCCACGAATGTAATTCATTGGTGCAATATCCTTGCTGTGATTACAGCATGGACACATACATTCCGAGAGGTCATTGTCAACCGTTATCAATGATCCTAACCCAAACCTTAACCCATTTCAGGGGGGAAAGTGTGAGACAATTCAAAGAAGGAGAGATGCTGTCAGTTGGCATGTTCAACTCACTGCTGGGCAAAGGTTTTTGGCAGGTAAGAAAGGAGCAAGAGCCATCCCTGCAGAGAGGTGCTAGCTCAGAAGGTCAGTGTCAGTCATGAAAGAGAGGCACGTTCTGTTAGCTGGGTTTTCTGATTGTGTCCAACTGTGCGCATTGGAAGCTCCACTAAGAAGGACTTTCACATAATAAAACATTTACTTGTTTTTATTACTTTGGGGAGGAGGAAATGATGATGGTAATTTTGCCTACTGCACAGGATTTCCATCTGGACTGATATGTACACAATTGTATAGTAATTTATTGACTATAGGCAGGGGTGGGCTTCAAACATTTTAGCAAGGGGTTCTCTGCCCAGTCGCTGGGTGGGCGTGGACATGGTGGGCGTGGCCTAGTCAGCCTCCTGCACCATGGTGGGAGGGGAGTCGTTTTTGCCCTCCCTGGGCTCTGGAGGCTTTCTTCGAGTCTCCGGGAGGGCGAAAATGGCCTCCCCAGGCTCCAGAGGCCCTCTGGAGGCCTCCCAAACTTCTAGTAGGCCCATTTTTCGCCTTCCCCGAACCTCTGCGTATGCCCTGCACTTATCTGCATCCAAAACGGACCACGTGGGGACTCCTGGGAGGGGCAGGGTGGGGTGGGTGGGGCCAGCCAGGAGTGGGATTTGGGGGTTCTCCGAACTGCACAGAATCTTAGCTAGAGATTCTTCTGAACCCCTGCGAACCCCCAGCAGCCCACCCCTGGCTGTAGGTCACATACTACACAGCTACCCTTTTTTTAATCAGATTTCTCTCTCTCTCCCTATCTCCCTATTTATCTCTGTCACCTATCGATGACTGGTTCCATATCATATATTAAACTGATAGGTCTAGACCAAAACACATCAGGCTTAGCACTGAAAATCACTTAATCATTTTTTTTTCCTGCTATCAACAGCCCATCCAGTAGCAATATGTTTGCTCATTCACACAGCAGTCCAAATCATTCACACAGCAGCCCAAAGAGGCTGTCCGCTGACCCACTGCTGGTTCATACAATTCAGACACAGTGAGGATGTGTTTATGTTTATATTGCTTCATGTTCTTAAAGCAGACAGAGGTCGCAAAAGTGCAGCTCGCCTGTAGTCAGAGTTAATTCACGAGAAGGGTAACCCTCAAATCAGGAACTTTCTAAGCCTCCAGGTTTGCCAGCTCATTGTCAAATAAGAACATTTGAGCCCCATTATCTCTCACATCAGGTTCATCCAGACTCACATGCCCGTCCTCAAATAATCTATGCAAATAAGCAAAAACAGGGCATTTACGCTGCCCTGCAGTTGGTACTGAAAGGCATGCTACAGCTGAGAAGGGCGGTGTTATATAGCCTGGCCACTCAGGGCAGCAGTGTGCCTAGTACAAACACAATCCTTGGAATCTGGCAAACTCCCTGTCCTAGCTAATTATGTCAACATTTATTATTTATTAGTTTATTTATTAGTTCAATTTATATGCCACCCTTCTCCGGAGACTCAGGGCGGCTTACAAGGTGATTAAGCAATAGCCTTCATACCTTTGTATATACCTGCTTAGTAGGGCTTTCGGGGGGCCCTAAGCGATGTTCTTTTTTATACAAAGTCAGTTTATTGCCCCCACAATCCGGGTCCTCATTTTACCTACCTCAAAAGGATGGAAGGCTGAGTCAACCTTGAGCCTGGTGAGATTTGAACTTGCAGTAATTGCAGGCAGCTGGCAACTAAGTGCTACTTTAACAGCACTTAGTCCACTGCGCCACCAGGCTCTAACATGATGTTGTTGATGATGAAAGCACAAAGCACCACCATTCAACAGAATATATATTTCTCACAATACCTCTAATCTGGTAAAGAGCTCAGAAACATTAGAGAGATAAGAAAATAAGAAAATAAAATGGTGACTGGTTACAGTCCTAGGTTTTTTATATGTAACTGACCTCATTTACCCAGGCAACCATTTTATCAGAAGCACCCATTATGTGCCTTCAAAATTCCAAAATGTCTCTATTCCCTGTGAAAGTTGGCCCCGCCCTGTTATTTACCAGTCATAACTAGTCACTGTTGTTTTCCTTCATCAACATATTTAATCTCTGCTTAAAGCTATCTGAGTTCACCTCTACTTCAACCGAGAAGAAACAACTGGTTTCACCTGTCATATTGTGCCATTAGGTATTGAATCATGAGTTAACTGTGTCATTTTGGCACTGTTTACACTTAACATTAAGCGTAAACAGTGCCAAAATGACACAGTTAACTCATTTTTAAACCATGGTTTATAAACACTATAAATTCATACCATATCACACCACAATTAAGGAAAGCCCATTATACCTCAGTGAAATATGTAAATTTCTCTTTCGTAACACCAACACAAGAGTGAATCCAACAGAATACAAGTAAAAACTCATATTCAAGCTTACATGGTGGCTCTAAGAGTAGCAAAATGTCAATATTTCTCTGTCTGGTCTTACTACATCTGCAACATGCAAGGCAGGGGTGCTTTTTTTTTTTTTTTAATGATCCAGAACTTTTCAGGGAAGGGTAGCGCAGAAGAACATCTTTGGAGCATCTCTGAGGAACATTGCAGATATTTAGAGGATAACATCATGTATTTTGCTCAGAACTGGATACCACCTGTGAGCTGATTAAGGCCATAGCTTGTTGGCCTATCCAGAATGAATTTGTGATGGTAAGTCTTATGGATAGAATTCTCTCTGAAGTCAATTATGCCATTTCTAGTCCTTCCTGATTGGAGTAAGCCTCCAAGAAGGTGATTGGCAATTGGGTCAGGGTGGCAATAAATGCATCTTTGGAAAGGTTATGCTGCTGTCTGTCATAAAAAGCACAGTGGTGTGCCTCTCCTTGAGAAACGATTGCTTGACCCAGCCATTCAGATTAATTATGAACCTGCCTCTAATCTCCCCCTTTTGTAGAAAGATTGTTGAGAAGCCAGTAGGGCTGCGGCTGTAGGCAATCCTGGAAGAAACAAATTATCAGGGACCAAACAAATGTTGAGATGCTGTTCCTGTACCTTAAAGAAGGACAGACTTAGGCTAGTCTGAGCAAGATACATTGGCTTTGGGTTCATAAGTAGACCAACTCAGAGATGCCCTTTCTGTGATGTCTAAGTGCCTGGAGGCAGTACGGGTCTGGATGGGTAGGAACAGGCTCAGACTCAACCCCTCCAAGATGGAGTGGCTGTGGTTGCCGGCATCTCATGGTCTAGTGGCCCCATCACTCTTGATGGGAGGGGAGTTGCTTACTCCCTCTGAAAGGGCTCGCAACCTAGGTGTCCTCCTGGATTCGCGGCTGTCCTTAGCGGACCATCTGACGGCCGTGACCAGGGGGGCTTTTGCACAGGTTCGCCTGGTGCGCCATTTATTTATTTATTTGTTTGTTTGTTTGTTTGTTTGTTTGTTTTAATTTGTATACTGCCCTTCTCCAGCAGGACTCAGGGTGGTGAACAGCCAGAATAAAACAGAACATACAAAATTTAAAAACAGTTTAAAAATAATTAAATATTTTGGGCCGCAATTTAAAACAAACCCAATTAAAATCAATTAAAATTAACCAAAACTATGGGATCAAGCCAGCCTGGCTAGGTGAAATAAATAAGTTTTCAGGACCCGACGAAAAGTCCGGAGGTCTGATATTGTACGTATCTCTGGGGGGAGGTTGTTCCAGAGGGCGGGCGCCGCCACAGAGAAGGCTCTCCCCCTGGGGGTCGCCAGCCGACACTGTTTGGCGGACGGCACCCTGAGGAGGCCCTCTCTGTGCGAGCGTACTGGCCGGTGGGAGGCTATTGGTGGCAGAAGGTGGTCTCGTAAATACCCCGGCCCTAAGCCATGGAGCGCTTTAAAGGTGGTCACCAACACCTTGAAGCGCACCCGGAAGACCACCGGGAGCCAGAGCAGCTCGCGCAGGAGAGGTGTCACATGGGAGTGCCCCGTCGCTCCCATAATCCCCCGTGCGGCCGCATTCTGGACCAGCTGGAGCCTCTGGGTGCACCCCAAGGGGAGCCCCATGTAGAGAGCATTGCACCCTTTCCTAGACAGGAATGCCCTCCGTACAGTCACTCAAGCTCTCGTTATCTCTCGTTTGGACTACTCCAATGCCCTCTACATGGGACTGCCCTTGGGGTGTATCTGGAGTCTCCAGCTGGTCCAGAATGCGGCTGCACGGGTTGTTACGGGAGCTTCCCGTTACTCCCATGTTACACCTCTCCTGCACGAGCTGCACTGGTTACTGGTGGTCCTTCAGATCCACTTCAAGGTGCTGGTACTTACCTATAAAGCCCTACATGGCATGGGCCCGGGGTATCTGCAGGACCACCTTCTGCCTGCCTCCCACTGCCCTGTGCGCTCACATAGGACTGCCCTCCTCCGGGTGCCATCGGCCAGACAATGTCAGCTGGTGGCACCCAGGATGAGAGCATTCTCTGTGGGTGCACCGACCCTCTGGAATGGGTTACCCACGGGGCTCCGGACGGCCCCTGACCTCCGCTCTTTCCGCCGTGACCTGAAGACATGGCTTTTCCAACAAATTTGCTGATCTGATGGGCGATTTTTAATTGGGAGATTTTAATTGATTATTTTAGTAGTTATCTTTATTGTTTTCTTTGTTTTAATTTTTGTGAGCTGCCCTGAGTCCTTCGGGAGAAGGGCGGCATATAAGTATAAGAAATAAAATAAATAAATAAATAAATAAATAAATAAATAAGTCATCTGATCCAGGAAGTTTCCATCTTTCATCATGGATGGGGCTTTACTCCCCTATTATGAGTGCAACTTAGTTTACCCAACCTTCGAGAACTGCAATGGCTCCCTCTTAGTTTCCCAAATACAAGACCATCAAATACAATTCAAGGTACTGTCTTTTAAAGCGCCTCATGTCTCAGGACCTGGGTATCTTCAGGACCATCTACTCCCCATTACATCTGCCTAACCAACAAGAACTAACACATAGGTTTCTTTTAGATCCCTTATGTCATGAAATGCATGATGGTGGTCTTGTTCAATTGTTACCCCCTCTTCAGTCTCTTCCCCCAGAGATTTAAATGGTACCAATCTTCTTGGAATTCAAATCCATAAAAACTGTCTGCCGCAGCAGTCTTTGAGACCTGGAATGTCATAATGCTGTTCTGTCTTAGAGTGGGATGTTTGAGTCATATGATTTAAGTTCCTTGATGTATAAATATATTAAAGGTATATAGATGTTATTGTACTTTATGTTCCAGGTTTTATTTATTGTAGTAATTACTGTAACATTTTGATCTGATTTACAGATTATGGGAATGTATGCTGCTCAGAGTTAGTCACGATTGGAACAACATATAAGTCCTGGGAATAAATAAATACATAAATAATAAAACCCATTACTAATCCATCCTGGGTGGTTGATGACAATGTCTGTGGAGCCATTCTATCTCCTTCCTGTACAGTTCCTTCATTAAGGCTGGATGTTCCTCTACTGCTAGGTGTGTTATTCAAACTTGCCCTATGGTTTCTAATGTTACACATGCTCCCACATTCAACTTCTGCTTACTCTCTCACATGGGTTCTTGTGAGCCCCCTTTGCTTTCTACCTAGGTTTTCCACAAAGGTGCGTTAGAGAAGATAAAACACATAGCTCTGGTCAATGGCTGAGAAATGATTAGGGACACACCCAAATCACTTTCTGCCGAGGCACGACAAGTACTTTGGAATACACCAGGATCTAGTGAATTTAATGTAATATCAAATTTTACTGGTTACGATGTACATTTGCTCTTTTGACCTGTGTCCTTGTCACCTAAGCTGTCAGGCACTAACTAGAGCAGGGGTAGGCAACCTTAAAGAGCCACAAAGGTCCTAACTGGGAGCCAAGAGCCACAAAGGTCCTAACTGGGAGCCCTCTGTTCAATTCTGGAGCCGACCGGAAGTCCAGTTCCCCCACCATAGAGTCTCCTCCTAGCGCGGCATCCATTTTCCTCTGCCAACCAGAAGTCCAGTTCCCTCACCTTAGTCTCCTCCTAGCACGGCGTCCTTTTTCCTCTACCTGTCCTAACCGAAAGCCCTATCAATTGTGGAGCCGACTGGTGACAGAGAGCCGCAGCAGAGGGATGAAAGAGTCACATGCGGCTCCAGAGCTGCTGGTTGCTGACCCCTGAACTAGAGGAATGGAAGCTGTCATCAAAAGAGCGAGCATGCTTCGGGACCCCTTTTATCCCTAAAAGTCTGTGCTTTGTTGGTTCACAAGATTGACAGCTACACTTGCCTTGTAAATTCACAAGGCTGGTAATTATTGGTAGGATGGGTGGGGGGTGGGAAGAGGGTGTGTTCAAGCCCAGCTTCCTTTGTCTGGTTCAGTTAACATTTTCCCTTTATTTTCTTAAAAACATGTTTCCTTCTTATGTAACTCCCTGAAGGGATCTTTTAGACAAGATTCATGGCTTGTTGTCCTCAATGCTTATAAGCCTGCGTCATCTTTAGTTATGGCTGCTCAGCTTCAGCCTAGTCTCCCGCTAGTAAATGTTGATTTTAATTTGAAACCTTGGATGGTTGTTTCAAGCTGGAATTCATGCTGATCACACATGGTAGCTGTTCTGGGTTTACAGCTATAGGTAATCACAAAAAAGCCACACACCATGGTTCAGGACAGAGCAAAGATGGTGCCAGTGTAGCATTTGGCAGGGGCAAAGGAGTCTTACTGATGAAAGGAATGTCACCATTTTTGGCTGTGTGTCAGGATGTCGCACACTCCCCCAATTAGGGTGGGGTTCGCAATCCTGCTTTCATAATTTTGATCAAAGTAGTAAGATCCCGTGAATGCCACTGGGTGGCACAGGCAGCCACGGTCAGCTATTCTAAGTGTCTTATCATGGTAGCAATCGCACCTTATCTGACAGCATCTTCCAAGCGTTACTATAGCATTACAGTCCCTGTCCACTTTCATGATACAACCAGAAAGCAATGATGGCATGACATTATAAATCAGCCGGGTAGCTGGCCACAAGTTGTGGAAAAGACACTCCCCAGGGTCTTTTTATAGTTTTCGTGTTGAATTCTTGAGCTAAGTTTCCACACCCCAGCAGGGACTTTCTTACAGGCAAAGCAAAGCCTGTTCCAGCAGCCTTGAGTTACAGCTCTCCCTTGGCCGCTTGGCAATAGCCAGGTGTTTTCCTCTTTTGCTTTCTTGTTTTAAAAAAAAACCAAAAAACCCAAATCAACTTTCTCCTCATAGACGAGACGATTAGAGATGTTAAAATATTAAAATCACATGCAAATGACAATAGCAGCTTTTCATCCGCTGAAAAGCAGGTGCAGGGGGTGGGGGGTGGGGAGAGAGAAAAATCAATCCGGGCGTCAAAGGAATCACTTGAGGTCGCGTCTCTTTGCAAAAAGTTGTGGGGTGGGTGGCGGGAGCTTTCAGAACCGCAGGAGCGGCGGCGATCAGCAGAAGGTGCGGGCGACGCTACCGCTTGGCAAGGCATGAATGAAGGGGAAATTGGCGGTTTGAAAGGCTTTTTAAACCAAGCCCATGCGAGGCTGCCAATTGAAGCCATCCACTTCTCTTCTTAATCACGTCCCTTCACAAGCCTCGGAGACGAAATCTCCAGATGGCGGAGGTGAAGCGGGGACGGAGGCTGTGGGGTTGGGGAATAAAATCCGGACAGCTCCTTCTCCTGAGAGGCGCCAATCTGAGGAAAGAGAAAAGGAAGTTGGGAAGTCGCCGTCACTTCAATTTGGATGGATTCATTAACGAAAGGCAGCAGCCGAGAAGCGGCCATTCAGGGCCGAGACAAAAGGCTGCGGAGATAATCAAGGCCCAGTGTGTTGAGCAAGCGGTTCAAACGCCATCAAGGCTCCTTTCGGTTGATAAAAAGAAAAAAGAAAAAAAAAAGACGATTTGCTTAACAAAGGGCTGTCAGTGTTTTTGTCTGATAAGAGCCCCTGGTTGGCCGTTTCTTTTCTAACCAGGCCTGGCAAAGTGCCTGCGAAGGCAGTTTAGCAGAGAAGAGAAACAGGCAGGTGGGGAGACGAGTTTTGCTAGTGAGTAAACAGACCGGGCATCTGCTTTAGCTCCAGCAGAATAAAAAATCTGTCAGAAATCTTGAGCTGGTTTTCCTCTCTCTCGCTCTCTCTGTAATCATAAGAGCTACTTGACTACCGTAAGCGCAGAAAGGATGCTCTAGTCTAAAGGTAGGAAGTGTGATAATTGCAAAGTCAGGAGGCTCGAGAAGACTTGAAGCTGGCAGCTAGTCCCTAGGTTAAAAGCACAGGCTTCTGGCTGAGTTCACACATTCTGCTAATCCAAAATGTGGCTTGCTTGTACAAGAGTGTGGGACAGAGGTGGGTTTCAGCAGGTTCTGACCAGTTCTGGAGAACCGGTAGTGGAAATTTTGAGTAGTTCGGAGAACCGGTAGTAAAAATTCTGACTGGCCCCACCGCATCTATTGTCTGCCTTCCAAGTTTCAGCTGATCGGGAGGAAATGGGGATTTTGCAGTAACCTTCCCCTGCCACGCCACCAAGCCACGCCCATCAAGCCATGCCACACCCACCAAGCCACACCCACAGAACCGGTAGTAACTGGCAGTCAGCAGAATTAGCCTGCAATACTGCATTCTAACCACTGTGCCACCACAATAGAAACTATGTTTTCTTGCTCCAATACACTTATTTCTACCGCAGTAGCTGATCATCTCATCATTAGAACTTTTAAACAGGTTTGGCTGACATCTCTGGGAGGGGGATGTTTTACCCCTTGATTTCCTGAATTCAGCATTGGGTAAATTGAGAGTCTAAAATCATCCTCTCCCATATCTTCCCGTTCAACAAATACAGCACCATTGTGAACTAGTAAAAACAGTCTTAATGCTCTCCAATTATATGGGAATTATATGAGTAAATTCAAAAACATTTGGAGAGAGTTAAGACTGTTTTTACTAGATCACAATGGTGCTGTATTTGTTGAACGGGAAGATATGGGAGAGGATGATTTTAGACTCTCTATTTACCCAATGCTGGGTACTCATCCTAATTCTGTATAAACAATGCATTTTGGCCATGAAACAGTTAAATTGCAAAGTGGAGTTGTTGCAGCTTGGTACCTGTTCATTGTAAAAGATGTGTTGTAGTTCCTTTATCACAAGATTGCTATCAGTGCAATTATATTAATCCTATTAATTTTGGAAGTCTATCTTCACTGTCAACATCTTTATTGCTGTCATCATGGAAAGTAAGAAAGTTTTGTTTTTCCCCTGCAGATCCGGCGTAGCATTGTTTATACGGAATTAGGATGAGTTCCCAGTTTATTGATTAGAGAATCACTGCATCTGAAACTAGAGATCTGAAGATACAGGCTTTCTCTGGCTGTGTTGCTTTCTCTGTCAGTGCTGAACAACTAATCCAGAAGAGGAAATAGATAGCAGAGAACATTATTCAGGGAGAGAGGACTTTGCTGCATATTAAATACTTGAAGACAACATTGATATATTATTTATTGCAGCAATGAAGCTGAATACATTGAGACAAGAAGAGAATCTGCTTACAATTTTCCTCAGTTCATAACTTTTATGTTCTTGGGGATTTTTTTTTTTTGTTCTATGTATTAGTCAAATATCTTAGTTAGTTAGTTTGCTTTTTGGTCAGATGAATAATAGAGCTCTTTTTGTAACTGTCAGGATGAATGCTGGAGTATGTTTCTTTGAGGTATTTTGTTTTATTAAAAAAAAAAAAGATTGGATCCCTGTGGATAGCCTTAACCTTATTTACAGGATTAGTGCATTTGATTTTCTTAATCTTAAACAAATGCTGGGAAATATACCCATTTAGGATTTGGTGATTTGCTTCCAAATGTCAATGGTGCCATTTAATTCTCTTAAGATAGGCCATGGTGCCCCCTTCTCTTACTAGTGACCAATGCAAGAACTGACTTCTCCCCCTGAGATTCTGTCTCTTCATATGTTGTTTCTGTGGAATTATGTCTTTTTTTTCTTTAAATACCCTTTGCATTTGTGGTTTATTATTATTATTTAAATTAATTCTTCTTCCCTCTCAAAATTAATTTTGACAATTTCGACTGAGAGTTTTTCATTATGAACAATATGCTTACTATAATCCCTGCTCTAGGCAATTCTTTAGCGTCTCTGATTCTCTTGCTCTGCCTCTCTCTCTCTTTTCTTCCTCTCAGAAAGAATGTTCCTTATTTTAGAAGATTTATCTCCACCCTCAGCATATCATGACTGCCAAGTGGGTATTTTCGTCATCATAATAAATTCCACATTAAATGTAATATAAAATTCCATTTACAGTTATTCAAGGTAGTGGCGTGAGAATGGAGAATGATTTTGAAAGCCATTTTACTGGGAAAAGGGTCTAACCTCATCCTAAATTCATAGTCATTG